CTCAGATAAACAGATAAACAAAACGAGATATACACATGCTTTTGATGGAATAGCATGACGCCTTAAAAAGGGAGGAAACTGATACACACTGCAACTTTGGTGAATCTTAGGGACACCAAAGTGAAACAAACCAGGAACAAATGCGGAACGGATCTAATGAAGGGAGGTATTGAAATCAATCAAATTCATAGGTAGAGATTAGAATAGTGATTACCAGGGGTCTGAGGGAGTAGACCAAGAAGAAAATTGAATAGGTTCAGACTTTCATATTTGCAAGATAAAAAGTTCTAGAGATCTGTTTGACAACAATGTACGCACATACAACACCACTGAACTGTACACCTAAAAGGGTTAAAATGTTCAAGTTTATGACAAGTGAGTTTTTTTTTTTTTACCACAATTAAAAAAAAAAAGCATAGATTTTTAAAATTGTCTGTGGTGTATTCACTGTTTGTGGCGTCCACGTCAGGGCCGTTTCAAACCCTTGGGCCATTTTCGGGTGCTTTTCTAGGCGCACTGTAGGAAGCTGGATTGGAAGCAGAGCCACCGGGACCCTGATCCTGGTGTCACACTCGATGCTGGCCTCTGCCACACTGTTAATGGTATTTGCCCCGAGAAGAGAAAGGGAGATCTCTAGTTTTTCCTTTATCTATTTTTATATTAGTTGCCATTTTCAGAATAAATGGATATTACTTTGTAGTTTTAAAAGCTATAAAACTAAGGTTAAATATTTGAAGAGAGATGGTAGGTGCTCAGCTAACTAAAGGCAAGTGTGTGCCCAGGAATGCTGCAGCCCCGTTGTCTCTCCATGCTCCATCGTTGGTTGTTGTTAATCAGCTTCTCCGATTATAGGAGATGCTGTTTTTACTTGTCCAAATAAGCGATTTGTGCTCCAATGCTAGGGAATTTTAAAACCTTAAGTATTGGAAGTAGAATGAATGTGAGCCTTAAAATTCTCCTGGTGGGCTCCTCTGCGCGCTGACATGGGAGACCCTGGAAGAAGCCGAGCAGAGCTGGGCAAGTAAAAAGAATGAAGAGATGACATGCGCGAAGGTGCTGGATGGTGATGGTGAGATGATGAAGAGGGCGGTGATGATGATAGTGAGGAGGATGATGTCGCTGATGATGAAGGTGATGATGGCGTGGTGGGACTGATGCTGGCGATGACAGCTAATCTTCATTGAGCTCATACTCTCGACAGACTCCTATGATCACACTATGATTATCACGACACTCATTTAACACAGGAAGTGAACTGACATGCCATGAGCCCACATTACCGCAGCTCTGAGCACGGAGGCCTGGCCTTGAGCCTGGTCGTAGGTCACTCTCTTATCCACTTCCTCACCAGCACTGCAGGGCTGCAGCAGCTCCAGTGGGACGCCTTCTCTGCTGCCAGGAGGGAAGAAGCAAGGTGGGCGTGGCAGAGTGTCGCAGTCACATAATTTCAGTCATCAAGAAGATGGGTATGTGGGATGTGAAGGATGTGGGGCTCCACTCCCGGAGAGCTCCAGGCTGCCGGGCCAGGCGAGAGGACAGATCTGAGCTTGGGAAGAGATCTCCAAGCCAAGGTCTACGCCCAGAGGTCAGCAATGGCCTTCCCAGCTGGAGTGGTGCAGGCTTGGAGGCTCTCTGGCCTGGATCCAGCAGTGTGGAGCAGGCAGGATGGGGCAGGGTGGCTGTCCTCCCTCTGCTCTGGAGCATCCTCCTGTCTCCACTGGGAAGTTCAGTGGATGCTGACAATTCCTAAGGCACTGACCTTGGCAAGGCTCCCCGTGGCTAGACACTGACCAAAACCCCTGGGAGAGAGACCTGTGGGAGCCCCCTGGGAGGAAAAGCCACAGGCCTAAGGCCAGAGGGTTTGGCTGCCAAAGCTGGCTGGAGTCAGATCCCAGGGACCCTGCCCCAGGAGGGATCCTCTCACCTCTGCTACCAGCTCTAGCTGCTTTGTTTGTTTTCTTGAGCCAGTAGCCTTAGAGGCCCACTGCAGCAGGGAAATGAAGTGATCTCCACAAGAGAACTTGACACTGGGTGTTGAAATTCTGCCTGATTAATGTGCTGTGTTAATCTGAGCCAATTATATTTACACAAAGATTAGCAAACTTTTCTTTGTTTACTAAAGAAAGCCTTTGGCTTCCTTGGCCCCATGCTTAGGGCCTGTCCCCACCACCACAGCTTCCCCCTCTCCTGCGGGTGCAGGAGCAAATTCCTGTTGGCGAGCATAGGCTGGGAAGTCATGTGGTCGCACACCACCGGATCTTGCAACCAATAACGGATTCTAAATCAGTAAGTGAATTTTGCAGATTTTCCAAACAACCCTTGAAGGAATAGAAGTCTTCTAATTTGACCCATTTCTATTTTTTTTTTTTTAAATCTAATTGGAAGGTAGAGTTATAGAGAGCGCAGGAGAGTCAGGGAGAGGGACTAGAGCGGAAGTTGGAGGGCAAGGCATCAAGAGCGAGGCACCGAGGGAAGGTGTACCCCTCTGGCTCTGTGGCACCAGGTGCATCTAGAAATCCCCTCTTCACATCACAACCTCTTCCCTCTGTTAAGTCTGTCTAGATGTCCCCCCGTCCTCCCGTTTTTTTTTTTAAATCAGGGTTCTGGTTATACCGAATTAGGGCCTACAGTCACTAATAACTGCATATTTGTTAAATCTACAAAGACTCTATTTCCAAATAGGGGGGCATTCTGAGAAGATAGGGATTGGGATTTGAACCTGTCCTCTTTGGTTAGAGAGTCCATGGCGCAGGGTAAAGAGCAGTGATTCCCAGAGAAGCCAGGCCCCAGACAATGTAGAGTTAAAATCAAAATGGAGTGAACAGGGCTCATTGCTAACTGCAATTCTTTCTGCTTTTGTAACTTCTGCTTTACTTGCTTGGCTAAGAAACTGTGTGAGCTTGCAGGCCTAATGGCCAATGCAACCTTTAGTGCCAATGGCCCCCAAGCCCCATAAATCAAAGCCCAGACTTAACCCATCGATAATTCAAGATTGGGGTCTGGTCGTCTTAGTCGGTGCCAAGGTTGGAGGCCAGACCAGAGGACAGCGGACAGGGGATGGCATTTTGCAGTATCGAAGTTGCTGCTTAGGGCATTTGCATGGTTCATCAGAATGCTTGGGTTTAAGTCCACATTCCAGCTCCCAGCTAATGTGTGCCAAAGAAGGCAGCAGGACATGGCTCCAGTATGGGGGAGATCTGGGTGGGGTTTTGGGTGCCAGGCTTTGGCCTCATTCCATCTTACCTGTTGAGAGCATTTAGGGAGTAAACCAACAGATCAAATAACCCCTCTTTGTCTCTCTTCCAAATTAAAATTTTCCAAGAGGGGCCACTGCCATGTCTCAATAGGTGAATCCTCCACCTGCAGGCATTGACATCCTGCATGGACACCAGTTCATGTTCTGGATGCTCCACTTCCCATCCAGTTCCCTGCTTGCAGCCTGGAAGAGCAGCAGAGGATGGCCCAGGTGCTTGGGCCCCTCTACTCACGTGGGAGACCCAGATGAAGCTCCTGGTTTTAGATTGGCTCAGCTCTAGCTGTTGCAACCATATGGGGAGTGAATCAGCAGAAAGATCCGTATCTGTGTCTCTCCTTCTTTTTGTAAATCTGCCTTTCAAATAAAAATGTTAAGATTTTTTTTTTTTTTAATTTGAAAGTCAGATATACAGAGAGGAGTAGAGACAGAGAGGAAGATCTTTATTCTGCTTGTTCACTCCACAAGTGGCCAGTATAGCTAGAGCTGAACTCATCCAAAGCCAGGAGCCAGGAGTTTCCTCTGGGTCTCCTATATGGGGACAGGGTCCCAAGGCTTTGGGCTGTCCTTGACTGCTTTCCCAGGCCACAGACAGGGAGCCGGATGGGAAGTGGGGCTGCTGGGATGCGAACCGGTGCCCATATGGGATCTTGGCATGTGGAAAGCAAGGACTTTAGCGCTGGGACCCTCAAATAAGAACATTTTTTAAAAAAAAGTTTAAGAGATTCTAGTGAGAAAATTGTTCCAGTGGACTCAATTTGTGAAATTAAAAACATTTTACATTATTTTTATTTTACATGGAGAGATAAACTGCTCCCCACATGGTCACAGCACTCCAGGCTGGACTAGGACAAAGTCAAGGGACTGGAACTCCAGGTCTCCCACGTGGGTGGAAGGGGCCATGACCTGATGGACTGGAAGCAGAGGAGCTGGACTCAAACAGGAGTCCCAAGGATTCAGGCAGCAGAGAACAGGCTGTCTTTCCTACTCCCCTCTTCCAATGCCCGGCCGCAGGGACTGGTTCCAAATCCAATTCCATGGCAGAGGGAGGCGTGCCCACTAGTCCCCTTCCAGCTTGTGCAGGAAAGACTAAGTTGTGAGCTTTGTTCACAGCATGAGGGACCAGAGTCAAGCTCCTGGGAGCAGCAGGAGTGCCCAGGCCCAGTGGATGCAGGGTTTGCTTCCCACTTCACCAGAGGGTGGCTCTGTACCCCCCACTTACTGTGTTGGTGCCTGGTCCATTCTCGCCACAAGTGAGCTGTTGTGGATTTGGGGTTGGATTCACACCAGGTGACCCATGCTCTCCTGCTGCCCTGCCCCATGGACAGGAAGGGTGCCACAGCCCCTGGGTGCCACCTCAGTCTGTGGCATTAGAGGCTGACCCATCCCTGTCTCCTTGTTGCTCCCGCTCACAGGCACATCGCTGTTTCAGACTGTTAGCAATGCAGCATCCTTTGCTGCAGCCGTGGCTGGCCACGGGAGGTCCCCCTTGTGACCGTGAGGACCAAGTGCTTGTCCTGCATGGGATCAGCGCCCACTGGGGAGGAGGCGTGGCAGGTTCATTTTAGCTTCTGCTACAGTTAGCTATCCACTAGAAGGAAAAAAAACAGATGGCATTTCCCAAGAGCTTACGCTGAAATTGAGTGAAACTTAAAGAGCCAGAAAATCTCTTACATTATGAACTTTAACATCCTACAGACACTGAGTGTCACACCCCCTTCAAAAGAAGAACCCATAAACGCAACAGTTGGTTTTGAACCTTTAATAAAAGTAAAAAAATGAATGCAAAAAAAGAACACAACATTGAAAACTTAGTATGACTGTGAATCTCACTAGATATTCAAATTTGAGAATAGTGCAAATTGTTATACTATTTTACATTTTTACAAACTCCAATCACTTTGGTTCATATATTTGCTCTAAACTATTGGCAAAAAAAAAAAAAAACAATTCTTCAGATTCACATTTTTTTTTTGGCTACATTATTTCTAACAGATTTACTTCCAGTTTAAGAGAAAAAAAAATACTTATTGTTTGTTGTATGATCAAGTATATTGCAAAGATTCACTTACTGTTTTCATCTAATAACTTGTCTGGGTCATGCCCAAGTATAGCCTGATCCATTTCCTTCCAAACAAAAGTCTTTACTAAAACAAATTCGCTTCAGTAACATGAAAATCACTCTGAGATATTTTCCTCAAAAAACTAAAAATCCCAAAAGATTATCACACGAATGAAACCACATACCTATGTCAACACCCACTGGTGAGTCAGGCTGAGTTTCTATTCTGCTGACTGGGGACTTCTATTTAAAAGAAGTCTCATGATCAAGCCACTTCCACAGAATTTAGAACAAATCAAAAACATCGAAACTGCAAAATACAAGAAGGCAAATTTGCAAGTTAAAAATTACTCAACCCACGAAACTGGAGTTATTCCCAAGGGTCCACTGCAGGGTATGACCATAAAGATCTTTACAACCGAAAGAAATTATTGCTGTGCTTTGCCTCCATGCAGTACTGAAATGAATGGAGAACCCGTCCCTCGGACATCTCAGACGTTACAAAAAAATAAATATTTAATACAAGGCTCAGATTGGTTTTCATAAACATTGCACTTGAAGTTTAAGACCCAATACTTGCAAATTAGGTCTAACATGGTCTATGCCATTAAATCAATACATTGTGCTCACCAATATCATTGAATATTTAGAAACACCACATGTTTAATGCAGTGACATATGTATTCTTTTTACAAGGCAATCACAGATTGCAGATTCCATAGGGCTGTGGAAAAAAAAAAAAATAGTCATCTCTGTTTTGGAGTACCAGAAACAATTTCGGCTAAGATTGAAACACATGGCTGACAGGTATTCACTCTTAGACGATTCTGGATTTTGGATAAAACTTCATAAATGGAGGTGAGACTCTCAAGATAACACAGTGTGGCATCACGGCTTCCCACGGCTGTTTGCTCTCAGTAAGATTGTCTCTACAAAGTTCCACAGGTGGAATGAAAAGCACAGTTCACACTTCATGCTAGACACCGCGTGGGACATCAGCCCGCCAGCGCAGCACAACGCGAGTGGGGCTGTGAGATGCTGCCCAGCCATGCCCCGCTCGAGCGCAGCCTCCCTGCCCCTGCTGCTGGCTTCTGTTTTTGTTTTTTTGTTTTTTTTTTACACAACCCTATTTAAAAAAAAAAACAAAAACATTTTGGATAAATATTCCTATTACACCATACTTCATCTTTGTTAAGCACCATCATCCTATCCCTTCGGACAACGATACAAGACTGATAGTTGGTGATTAAGTTTTAGTTCAAGGCTTTCAAATATGGCAACTTGTTTTTAATGACATGGATGCAATCTAATACTGGGACACTGCCCCCTGCCTGAACTCCTGCACGCAGCCTGGGATGGAGCGTTCCAGAGCGCTTCTGGCACCAGCACCGCTGCTCAAGGGAAGGACTTCCAGGGGAGCAGTTCTTGCCTCCACTTCGCTATGCTAGACCACGTGAATATTTTTCTCCAGGAGTCATTCGTATTGTCAGCCCGATCTCAACAGATTATTTAGGAAAAAGCTCATCTTTGTGAGAATCTGTTATCACAGATTATCTTCTCCAATCTTGCTCCCTCCTCAGCATCAGTGGGTTTGAAGATTCAATCGCTGTGTGGCTTTTCAGGAACGCCCTAATGTAGAGAGGGAAACAAAAACACTAAGTGTGTAAATATTTTAATTCCCAGTTGAGCAGGCTTAAAAGGTGAAAGACGGACAGAGATGTCCGACACGTGGAGAAACACGGACGAGTCCAGGGTTGGGGGTGTGAGCTCTACCGGCTGCCCCGCGGTCTCCTCCTTCCTCTCTCACCCCAGGGCCATAGCTTTCCTGGCTGTGCTAAAGCCCACAGACACACTCTATTAAATATGTAAGGTGTTGGTGACACTTGATTAAACTGGTATCACTTTGATCACAGCACACTGATGCTTACGGACTTCCAGGTTTTCCTAGAGATTCTATCATGCTACATTATAAGGTCCCGTACTTTTTGTTAAAAAAAAAAAAAAGGTTTTATTTTATTGGAAAAACAGAGCTAGAGAGAGAGAGAAGAGATCTTCCATCCACTGGTTTACTCCCCCAATGGCCAGAGCCGAGCCAGTCCCAAGCCAGAGGCACCTCTGGGTCTCCCATGTGGTTGCAGGGGATCAAGGACTTGGGCCAGTCTCCGCTGCTTTCCTGGGCCATAGCTGGGAGCTGGATCCCACATGGAGCAGCCAGGACTAGAACTGGCAACCAGTGCCGCAGACCTGCTATGTCACTGCACCGATCCCCCAGGACCTACAGTTTTAAAGTCCATTTTGTTTATTTGAAGAAAAGGACTTTTCTGTCATAATCTTTGCTAACATGATGCTTCCATTATAACCAACCCTGACAGCAGTTTTTTTGAAATAGATACTCGGAATAGGTACTTTGAGAATACCTTATGCTTACATAGTGTCACCACTCACAGATCTTATCCACATATTTTTTATTTGAGATCCTGACAAAGCTTCCCTGGGGTAGACCCCCGCTCCTGCTGCTGCCAGGTATCACATGTAAACTCAGTCTGGTATGGAGGTTTCCCTGGGGAAGCCGACTCGGAGAGGCCATCGAACACTTCCTTCTTTTGAATCCAACGTCTTCCTACTTCAATTTTCCTCCATATATAAAATGATCAGGTTTTAAGATGCAGCAGCTGAATACTAAGATTATTTATCCCCCCCCCATAAAATAAGATCGTCTCACTTGATAAAGTCACCTAGGAGTCTTGCATGTTAATGACTACCCTAGGGATGCGTGCAAGAAGGCCTCCGAGGAAACAGACACACTTTGAAAATCTAGTCATTTGAAAGCATCACAAATTGTTAAATACAGACAGAGGGAAGGTTTCAAACCAAGAGAGTAAGCTCTTGCCTCCAGCCTACAAGTAGAATTGGTCATCAAATTTAACTACCGGCCCACTGATGCAGTGATAAACAGTACAAGACAGGAGTCAGGAGACTTACATTAGGTCTGGCATTAATGTAAGATCATAAATGACTATAGAGATAGCGATCATCCTTAGAAGGATTATAACACTTGGCACATAAACGTTCACCCATGTTGCCCAACAGCAACGTATTTTAAATGACACGTTGGTGTTCTACAGTAAATCCAAGATAGCAACACAGATTTTTAAAAACGTCTTTGAGGATGAATGACAGAGAGGAGCTATTTGTGCAAACGTGGCATCCTGATGGAGCAGCCTGGCTCAGATTTCACCTCTGCCACTTGGGCAAACTGGCTCATCTGCCTAAGCTCCAATTTCCCCCATTTCAAAGTCGGTTAGGAATGGTCCCCACTTCAAAGGACTGTGCTGTGAGGACTAAATTAATTAGCAGTGACAATATTTAGCACAGTGTCTCGTGTTCAACACTCTGCGCTCCTCGGTGTGGGTCCCCGGTCACACACAGTACTTCTCTGTCTTGGGTTCACCAAGCTAGGCAAGTCCAGCTGACACCCACAGGGACAGGGGGGCAAAGCTTCAGTCACATGTCCCCATGACCGTTTCAAACATTTCCTCCAACCACTTCTCAAATGCTTATAACTAATGCACCTTGTAAAATGTTAACCTCTAGCAAACTAATGCATGTTTCTTAAAACTGATTCGAAAGCTTTCATAATGAGTGTGTAACAAAGATCAATCCACTGTCAGGAAAATAGAAACAATCAACTCCCTGAATGTGTAACTGTTGCTATCAATGGTCAACCTGGCAGAGGAGAATTCTATTCCAACAGATTCCTTAGGAATCCGTCACCAAGAGTCAACTGAAACAAAAATCTCAAAGCAATAAAGCAATTAAGAGTTGCTGCCTAGCTCTGCTTTGAAAACTAGCAAGGGGAAAGGAGCTGAATGACTGGAGGAAGACAGAAGCTCTTTTTGTGTACAGCTGTCTAGCTCGTTAGAACTGTAACATGAACAGACATCCTTTGCCTCTCCTTTAGGAGACACAAGAAATGGAATTTTAAAAAGGGAAATGTGAAGGAGCCAAGTGGCCTTCAAATTCAGCTTCTCATAAATGGGTATCAGTTGGCATAAATAAGTGTACCAGTTTAAAAATAGCACAAGGTACCAAGATAAGTTCTCTGAGAAAAGTCCTGGAGTTTATCGCTGAGAGCAATGGTTCTGGCTGCTCCCCCCTGTTTTTTCCCCTAAAGCTCTCCTTATGTGAGCCCTGAGTCAAAGCAACTCAAAATAATATCTAAATGTCCGTACTGAAGTTTTTGAATGAAAACATTCTAATGCCAGGTCACAGCTACTGAGAAAAATTGCAAAAATTGGCCTGGAACTCACACCTCTCAGGAGGTGCATCTTGGGAAGTAGCACTTGTTTCTCTTTTGGCAAGAACTGGTGCAAAGCTCACCGCAGGCTGACCGTTTTAGGGGGACAGAGATTTCCCAGCAGACCTAGGAAGGCTGAGTGTCCTCAGCATCATCTGGGCTCACTCCCATCTTGTTAAAAAGAAATGTTGGTTGCAGGTGCATGGAGAGCAAAGTATCCAGCCCTAAGATTATCTACATTTGTTTCTGACACTGCAGGAAGAAGAGAAAAAGTCATCTTCCATCATCTACTTTAGCTTCTTTAACAACTTTTCTCTGCTGGCTCCCATGGCCGCATGGCACAAATGGAACTGGAGGGGTTACATTAGAACACTAGCTCCTTCTAGCTCAAATATCGGTAAGTCTCTAGAGTTAGGAATGTTTGTGATTTAGCAGAGAAGCATCTGGGTTATCATTATACACTTTCAATCAATACAGAATATAATTTACCATGTAAAACAATCCATATAAGCTCAAAACACAAGAACAACCTACAGTGCCGGGAGATGCCAGGATTATTCCACTCACCATTGCTAACTGTCGTCCTATGTTTCCCACGGTGACGCCACCTGAGAAAAATATACATGGAAGCCAAGACCGAATATAGAGGAAATCTGGAGACGTGTACCTAGAAGAAAACCAGGGGAGGAAAAAGACCTGTGCCTTAGTGGCCGATTCGCTGGATTCAACTCTTCTTCATCAAAGATTTTCTATATTCAGGATATGCAAAACACAGGCTAATCACAGAACAGCAAACTGCCAAGGTCAGCATGGCACACGGTGCCACTACCACTTGGCTTTCCTTAACAACAGACTACACAAGCAGAACTGTGCGATGTGACTTAAGCGGAATGTCTCAATCCATGCCAGTCTACGTAAAGACCAAACGGCAACACAGAAGCAGCCAAGCTTAATGTATGGTTTTACACAAGTTCTGCACCACTTATCTGAACAATCAATATCTGTAAGCACAGACTTACTGATAGACCCCATTATACACGAGGAACTGTGTAATCAGAGTGGCCAGAAAGGCTATGGTGATCCCAAGGCCAAGGCCACTTCTGGAGCGGTCAAACGTCCACCAAAGGCCCAGGGACAGGGCTGCCAACGTCAGGGACAACTGAACATTATTGGCAAAATCCAGTTTCTGGTGATGCTAAAATTAAGGAAAAGATACCTTTTTTTTTAAACAAAATAAAAACAAGAAAAAAAAAATCACAAAATGCTTGTGGATTGTGGTACAGCGAATAATTCACTTCCTAAAAACTGCATATTGAGCTAAAGAAAAGGCTACTGCCCGCTAGACTCTTGTACTGAGACTACTTGCAACTTCCCTGGGATCACTGAATCAAGCGAGCAAACTTCCTGAAAACTATGTGTAAAATTCTGCTGCAATTCTGTCCATACAACAACACATTTTGCTATTAAGTCATCCACAGTTCTGTTTCTTTAGCAAGCATTTTCTTTACGCTTGCATTTGGTACCAAGAACATGAAACACAATTTGTTATAACACTCCTTTATCAACATTGCTCCTTTAAGAGCTATCTTATACACCATTAAGACAGAGGGTGGGACAGATTTCAGGATCAGTATCTCTTAAAAATATCTTTCTCTGCAAGTGTTCTAAAGAAACCCAGAACTTGACCACAACTGATGGAACTGGGTGTTTTTCTCAAAAAGATGCATTAGGAATGGACACAGCACACTCCTCGATGTTCCGTGGCATGAATTCCACCCGCGCATGCCACAAGTTCAGGGACCTATCAGACTTAGGTGGCTAGAGACAAGCACAGAGCCTTCTGGAAAGATGTGACAAAAGCAGTAACGCTTCTTGCCTCTCGTTCATTCTCTTGTTGCTGTAGGAGCCTTTGAGTCTCACTCTGGAATAGAGAAATGTAAAAATGAACTTGATAACTTCTGAGAGAGAACAGCAAGTTCTCTCTACTGCTACGATTTGTTTCCTAGAATGAACTGAAAGCACTCTAGAAACTAAGTATAAATTAATCAATGTAATTTAAAATGAAATCCTTGATGACACACTGAGTAGCCAAAGTAACAACATACTCCAACATATAAGGAAATCATTTGGACACAGCAGGTTAACTTAAGGATACAGCACTGGCGTGGTTGATGCCCACAAAGACTGCTATGCAGCGCATGACGCTGGCCCACTCTCTTTTAAACTTGTGGGGTTCTCCAAGGTGACTGTCGATGCAGGGGTACAGCAAGCCAACAACAGCTGTGTTAAAAAAAAAAATAACAGCATTAGAATATGCATGCTCAAATTGGCATTTCTCCGTGACGATGATTAGCATATGTTATTAGACTACTCCTTTAGCTGGATTTTATCAGCTAAATATTTAAATCAAGACTAATTTTAGACTCGACTCTCGGGTACCTGCACCAAATATTGCACCGTTCTGAAAAAGTTTCAAAAACAAAGTCCCCGCTGAGTTAAGCACATGTCTCAGTAAACACAGAAGTGGATCAGTAAGGGTTTAATTAATCATATGGAAGAACACATACTTAGTTCATGAAAGTTAATGTCCATATTTGCCTCACTACAAAACTGAGATGACTGCAGTGTTTACACATTTTCATCAACGGCAACTTTCAGTTTACGGAGGCAAGGTGAGCAGCCATGAACAGCTGGGGCCCAAGGCACACAGTTCTGACTGTCCCGCTGGGACCCAGCAGCAGGACTGGGCACACGCCCAGCCACTTGGTTCTGCCGAGTTGATGCTGACGGTCCAGGTCACGTGGCCACAGAAGGCGCGGGACTCAGCTTTTAGGGGGGCTCTCTCCCGGCCTAAGGAGGTAACACAGAGCAATGCTGTCCACCCACTCGGCGGGCAAGGGCTATGACCGGGCACTCTCACACTTTCTCTGACTGGTTCCTGGGGTTGAGCCGCAAGCCGTGGAAAGAGCACTCACCAGGAAAACAAAGTTTGGTCTCTCGGCCCAGTTTGGCCTCTGATGGGAGGTGGCCCTCCATGTTTGTTTTCTCATGTGTGAAATGATGAGGATTATGTAACCAGAGGGGACAGGAGGAAGAGGTCATGCGGTCTCTAACAGTTAGGAAGTCTTCCCAGACAGAATCTGAGAGAAATTTGGCTAAGCAGGAAGCCAGGGCATTCCAGAAAGCTACATGGAAAACAGAAAAACAAGAGCTGTGCAAAAACAAGAGCTGTGGCCTGAGTGGCAGCCCAGGCCTCTGGGATGGCACCAGGGGGCACAAGGACCATGGTGCAAACTCCATCTGAGCCCCGAGGCTCTGCAAAGTCAGGCAGTAGCCTCGTCCTGATCAACTGCCAAAGAAAGGCACCCGAGAGCCTGGGCAACAGAAGGGAGAGGCAGCCTGAGCCCAACACGCAGAAAACAACAAGTTGGAGCAACTGTGTCAGCTGCTCCTAGAATCCCCTCATGCCTCTATCACAGATGTTCTGAAATATTCCATCCTTTAGATCAACTTTTTGGTTCAGAGAAACTTCTGTCCCACAGGTATGTGAAATGGAATTTGAAAGTTACATCTATTTCTTTAAAAGGCTTTCAAGTTAGTAACAGCCACATACTTGAAGAGACTAGCAAAACAGAAATGGGATGCCCGGTGGAGAAGAGAGATGAACTTTCTCATCCCTCTGGTGATGGATGCCCTGCCTCGGGAACCGGTGTTCCCAAGGAACTGCCTGAGCAGCGTGGAAGCTAGCACGCTGGGCATTATTATTGCAGCTCCGTGACTCAGTTTCCACATCTATAAAACGGAGCTATAGCATAGTTCTGTCATTGTAAAGGATAAACAGAGCAGGGCACAGGAAGCCTGCAGCAGTGAATAAATGCTGGACACGAGGCAGGAAGGCCCTTCCTCCCACTGCGCTCCAGGTACTTTGACAAACCTTTGCTTTCCCCATCAGCGACTGGGTTGGTCATGGGACATTTCAAGAGCTGACTTGGAGCTGCAGAAAGCATCCAACAGATACCTGCGGAGCAGATACTGACCCTGGTTACAGCTCCCAGCAACGGTGTGCCTGGAGAGCTACACCCTAAGGCGAAACTCTCCACGCGGGAGGGGGGGGTGCTCCTCCCCAGGCCTATGACTCTGTAACAGTTGCCGGTGGGCAAAGGCTTGGGCTTGCGGCTCATTTGGCCATCCTGCAAGAGGAAGTGCTGAGAAGGCGCTCCCTTGGCAACCACCACCCCCAACACATGTGCCGGATTTGTTTTCAGTTATCCATCGGGGTAGCATGTTCGCAGGGGCAACCAATCCCTACCCAGTGCCGCGCCTCACCAGTTCTGCAGGCAGCCAATCCCGGGGCAGCCTGTTCTGGGTGACAGTTGTGGGCTTGTGGCTGTGCCCGGGTCCGCGGGACACCAGCGGGAAGGGCCTCTGTCAGCCTGGCCCGGGATTCGCTTAAACAGCCAATTATCTCCCCGGCTCATCTCCAGCCCTGGGCTGCCTTCAACTTTAAGGGAGGGGTAGCTGGGGCTTTCACTGGGTGCCCCGCATCCTCCTCCTCCTTCCTCTCAAAGCAAAAGCTGGAGATGGAGTTTTCACCTCCGCGTGCTTAGAAGACCTCAAAGCGTTTTTTTTAACAACAACAGCAACAAAAGCAACCTTACTTCTCCGAGAACCGGGAATGGTACGCACCTGCCGCCGTCCCGCAGCACGGAGGGACCCACCAGGCGGAGGAGAAGATGGTGGCAATCACCTCCTCTGGGAAGAGGGTCACATTCCTCTGGATCTGCAGCAAGTTGAGCACCAGGGCGAGGACCACCCCGACCAAGAAGAGCACAACGCCCCTCTGCACCAAGTGATGATGCCAACTGCTGGGGTGGCCGCCGCGGCGGTCACTCGTCCCAGCGCTCCGATCGGCGTCCGGGGCACCGTGGGCCACCCGCAGGGAGGGACCAGCCCCGGGGGAACCGCTCATGTCTCCGGTCCTTGCCGCCAGCCCTGCGGCGCGGGCTCTTGGGGGGCTCTGGTGCCTCGCACTGTTGGGATAGGAGCAGCCCCACAAGTGGTCGTGCAGTCTGGGCATCAGTGACCACCGGCGTGGGGAGAGGTGCTTCCTGCAAGGAAGAGGCAAGATTTTTCCGTGAGGGGTGTCAGGCAGGACCCCCCCGACTCCTCATCACCAGTCCCGGGCGCGCTGCCCCATCCGATGCCCACCCCGCAGCGCCTGGAGCAGCTCCCCCCCACACACACAGCGCGCCCATCTCGGGTCCCGCCAGCCCAGGACCGTGCATCTCGGGAGACGCCGCCCCCGACCCCGCGCTCCCGGCGTCCAGACCCTCCGCGTCCGGCCCCGGAGCAACGGCGAGCCGCCCACTGACCCCGAGAGCTGGTCCGCGCCTCTGCCTGCCCGCTTCCCGGCACGCCAGCCCCGGCGCCACGCGCGCATCTCCCGCCTCCTGCCCCCGCAGCCTCCGCTTACCTGGCAAGGGGCGCCCGCCAGCGGGCTGACCGAGCGGAGGCGGGGCGGCGCCGCGGCCCGAGGAGGAGGAGTCGCGGCCCGGGACGGCCCCAAGTGCGGCCGCAACGCCGGGAGGGCGCGCGGGTTTATATGGCGGGCCGCTGCCGCGCGTCACGTGACCCGGCCCGGCCTACCGGCCGCCGGCGCGCGCCGCCCGGGGGCGTGGCCCCTGCTGGCCCCGCCCGTGCCGCGTGCCCGTCCGCACTGGGTCTGGTGAGGCGGCAGCAGCCAATGGGAAGAGGGCGGCCCATATGACGCGAGCACACGCCACCGCTGCCCGCGCCGGGCACGCGCTCTCGGGAGGCTGCTCGGGGCCCGGGCTCCTGGCGGGTAGATGGCCGGGGCCCGGGGGAGGGCAGAGCGGGCGTGTAGGGGCGGTCGGGGTCGGGAGAGGGCAGAGCGGGCGGCCGGGGCCCGGGGAGGGCGGAGCGGACGGCCGGGGCCCGGGGAGGGCGCGGCGGGCGGCGGGCCCGACCCGGGGAAGGCGTGCCTCCGGGGCCCGAGCTCTGCGGGTTTGTGTTGTTACCTCACAACGGTGGTTCCCAACCGCCGAGAGACCCTGTGTGTGACATCAGGTTCTGGTGCGAAGGCGCCAGTGACGCTTGTCTCTAGCGTCACACGTGGAGAGCCAGGCAGCAAAACCCCCTCGGGAGACTCAAACGCGGAGCGCGAATGTGTTGTGTGGCTGGGGTGATGGTGTCTGGCCTGTTGGCTGACCTGTCACGCCACCCTGGAGCGCGCGGGCCGGCTGCCTGCTGAAAAGCCACTTCTTGTTGAGCAAGGGCTGTGTTAGTGAAAATCTTCCTCAGCGGCGGCAGTGGAGGCAGAGCGCGGGCTGTGCCTGCCTGCAGAGGCGCCGGGGTGCAGGGGAAGTTTGTGCCCAGAGACCCCAGTGGCTGGGAAGGATGCTCACCCAGTCCCTCAGTGCACAGAAGCCGTGCATCGTTATCAATAAGCTTTGTGGCTGTTAGGCCAGAAACTGTAAAAGCAGAACGCAAGGGGGAAACGTCCTTGCAAGGTATCAGTTCCCTGGAGGGCGGTTGGTGAGGGGACATTTATTCCAATTGGACTTTCAATATTTTTTGCTTTTGGAAGACAGAGGGGACAAAGGAGTCTTCCATCTGTTGGCTCGCTTCTCCCAGGCCTGCAGCAGCTGCGGCTGGGCCAGGTCCCCTAGCCCCGAGTCCTGGGTGTGCTGCATGGCTGGCAGGGACCAGGTGCTGGGGTCCCTTGCTGCCTTCCAGGTTGGACAGTAGCGGGAAGCTGGGTTAGAAGTGGAGCTGGGGCTGGAATCCAGAAACTCAGATGAAAGATGCCAGTGTGCTCAGCAGCATGCTTTTTTTTTTTTTTTAAATTTTTAAGCTTTTTTTTTTTAAATTAGAAAGTCAGATATACAGAGAGGAGAGACAGGAAGATCTTCCCCTCCCCAGTGGCCACAGTGACTGGCCAGAGCTGAACCGATCCAAAGCCAGGAACCAGGAACCTCTTCTGGGTCTCCCACACAGGTGCAGGGTCCAAGGCTTTGGGCCGTCCTCGACTGCTTTCCCAGGCCACAAGCAGGGAGCTGGATGGGAAGCAGGGCTGCCGGGATTAGAACTGGCGCCCATATGGGATCCAGTGCAAGGCGGGGACCTTAACTGCTGTGCTATTGCGCCGGGCCCTAGGTTTTTATTTCTTGAGCGAGGCAATGTGCAGTTGGCAAAGGAGGGGTCTTCTCTCCGCCCTCCCTTGGTTGAGGCCAGGAGCGGACTTGCCCACTCTGTGTGTATTCGTTTCTAGGCCCTGCTAACCATTACGTGCTTTATTCCCAAGGACTCAAAGCTGTTTCGGCCTCAAGCAATATTATGATCTTGGTCATTGTTTAGTGTAAACGCTTTAGGGTTACATGGGCACGTGTGCAGACATCAGCACTGTGTCATCACTGTGACAGTGGGGCTTTTGGTGATCAGTAACATGAAGCTGCCTGGCTGCCAGCTTGGAAAACGGGTCGGTAAGGGATGGCGCGTCTCTAGCGGAATGCGCTGTAGTGAAAAGTTCATTTCAGCCATAGGGACTTGTTCCCCCATGAACCCGCTTTTTTTTTTTTTCTTCTTGGAAGATTTCTTTATTTGGGAAGACTTACATCGAGAGAGAGAGAAACAGATCTTAAACCTGATAATCACTTTCCGGGTGGAGCAAAGAGCAGTATGAACTAAACCAAAGGCAGGAGCCGGGAGCCTCTTTGCTTCCCCTCAGACTGGGCGTCCAGACACTTGGTCACAAAGCAGCAGTCTGCCACTGCTTTGTCCAGGCAGTTAGCAGAGAACTGAGCTGGAATGGGACAGCTGGGACTTGAACCTGCGCTTATGTGACATGTGGGTGCTGCAGGTGGCAGCTTTACCCACTAAGCTACAGTGCCAGCCCCCACCTGTTTTTTTTTTTTTTTAAGATTTATTTATTTTTATTGGAAACTCAGATATACAAAGAGGAAGAGAGGCAGAGAGGAAGATCTTCTATCCATTGATTTACTGCCCAAGCAGCTGCAACAGCTGGAGCTGAGCTGATCAGGAGCCAGGAGTTTCTTCTGGGTCTCCCATGCGGGTGCAAGATCCTAAGGCTTTGGGCTGTACTCAACTGCTTTCCCAGGCCACAAGCAGGGAGCTGGATGGGAAGTGGGGCTGCTGGGATTAGAACCAGTGCCCATATGGGATCCCAGAATGTGCACGGCAAGAACTTTCGCAACTAAGCTACTGTGCCAGGCTCCCCCCGCCTCAGTTTTAAGCACCATATACAGATATTGAGAAACACTAGTAATAAATTAATCTGTTAATATCATGGAAATGCATCTACAGTATAGCCTTGACCTGGGGATACAGTTGGGTCATTGATTCCATTATGAAACACCAGCAAACACAGCAAGCATCTCTAGCCCGTAAGCACTAACAGGCTTATTCTGGTATGTGACCTGGTAAACACATAGCCAGCACTCAGGAGACCCAGCAAGCTGCTTTCCTCACAGACCCCTTACATCACGGAAGTCATACGTGCCTCTTCTGTGGTCTAAGATACATTTGACAATCTTTTCTGTCATTCTAACTGTGTGAAAAGCACCAACGTATCTTTAAATCAAAAAAAAAAAAAGTTCTTTGAAAGGTAGAGCTACAGTGAGGAGAGACAGAGAAGTCTTCCATATTCTGGGTCCCTTCCCAAGTGGCTGCAATGGCTGGAGCCGAGCCAATCCGAAGCCAGGAGCTTCTTCCGAGTCTTCATTCATGTGCAGAAGCTCAAGGACTGCGGTCATCCTGCTCTGCTTTCCAGGGCCACAAGCAGGGAGCTGGGTCAGAACTGAAGGAACCAGGACCCCAACCATCACCGAAACAGGGTGCCGTTGCCACAGGTGGCGGCTTAGCCAACTACCCCACAGCATCAGACCCTATTTCTTTGAAGTAGGATGTCCCTGGGGAACAGGTGCACATCTTCTCATTATATTTTATAGATGATTGAGTTGCATGTCTGATGTGGAGGGGCTGTCGTCAGCATGGTTTCTACCTCAAGTAGGTCTTGCATTGCTAGGGTGTGTGGTTTGGCCACGTGACTGTGGAGTCACCTCATGAGAGGTTTGCATTTATTTTTTTATTATTTTTTTTATTGGAAAGGCAGATATACAGAGAGGAGAGACAGAGAGGAAGATCTTCAGTCCGATGATTCACTCCCCAAGTGACCACAATGGCCGATGCTGTGCCAATCCGAAGCCAGGAGCCTCTTCTGGATCTTCCACATGGGTGCAGGGTCCCAAAGCTTTGGGCCGTTCTCGACTGCTTTCCCAGGCCACAGGCAGGGAACTGGATGGGAAGCGGGGCTGCCGGGATTAGAACCGGCGTCCATATGGGATCCCAGGCGTGCAAGTGAGGACCTTAACCACTGTGTCATCGCACCGGGCCCTTGCATTTATTCTTTTAGAGGCTGACGCCTCACCAGCAGAGACCGTGTTAAAATACTTCGCAGGTTTGTAATTCGATTGTCCTCAGGCAGAGCTGCTATTGATTTAGTCTCTCTACCAAATGTGGCTCACGATTGAAAATAATGGGGCGCATTCTGGCTCCTGTAACTCTGAATTGAACCTCGAAGGAGACGTGCTTGTGGTAGTGCTGTTATCAGTGGCATCACTTTGCATTCAGTCCTCATGGAGATGCTTGTACTCTTTGAAAGTTTACTGTTGCTTATAAACTGAATATCTCACCGTGCCTTCTGCTTACATCACCGGTGAAGTAGGCCCCACTGCTTCTTTAACTTTTGGATACAGACTTACAGCATTATGGGAAGGCAGAGGACTTGAGATGTCCTATGGTAAGCGATCAGCTTGCCTCTCATCTGTGTTCCTACTGTTCTTTTTGCTATGGCATGAATAATAATAGTAAATATTCTGCAAATAGGGCGGATAGGAAAGTATGCTTTTAGTATACAAGCATCATATGCTCATTGTAAAATTTCATAAAAACTTGAAAAATATGTCTAGAATATCATCTGTTATCCTCTCACCTAGAGATAATCGCTGTTATATTTGAGGAATGGATCTCCTGATATTTTTCCTATACTTTTTTTTAAAAGGATTTTAAAATTTTTATTGGAAAAGCAGATATACAGAGAGGAGGAGAGACAGAGAGGAAGATTTTCCGCTCAATGATTCACTCCGCAATGGCTGGAACTGAGCTAATCTGAAGCCAGGAGCCAGGAGCCAGGGGCCTCTTCTGGGTCTGCCACTTGGGTGTAGGGTCCCAAGGCTCTGGGCTGTCCTTGACTGCTTTCCCAGGCCACAAGCAGGAAGCTGGCTGTTTGGATTAGAACCGGTGCCTATAAGGGATCCCCATGCCAGCCCTACTGTTTTTGTTTGTTTGCTTCTTTTTTCTTTTCTTTTTTTACAAAGCACAAATAAGATGTTATGTCCTAT